ATCATCTCTGTTTCCTTCTGTTTTATGTTAATCTTGGTCTCTCTTTGCTTACAGGATCCCCTTAATATTTCTTGCGGTGCTGTCTTGGTGGTCACATATTTTTAAATTTCTGCCTGTCCTGGAAGCTCTTTATCTCTCCTTCCATTCTTAATTATAGCCTTGATGGATAAAGTATTCTTGGCTGTATGTTTCTCTCTCTCTTTTTTTTTTTTTTTCTGAGTATATCATGACAGCCTTTTCCAGTCTGTCAGGTCTCTGTGGATTAAGTCTGATGTCAGTCTAATATTCCTACCCCAGAGGTTGAGAACGTCTTGTCTCCAGGTGCTTTCAGGATTTTTTCTTTATCTCTGAAATTTGCAAGCTTCCTTAGTATATGTCAGGGTGTTGATCTATTTTCATTGATTTTGGGAGGTGTCTTCCCCATGAATGCCTTTTTCTTTCTCCAGATTAGGGATGTTCTTAGATCCCTCAAATATACTTTCTGGCCCTCTTTCTTTTCTCTCCCTCAGGCAGTCTAGTATTACTGATTTTTTTTTTTTATGTCATTACTGATTTCTCAAAGCCTCCCTTCATGGTCTATTAGTTGTTTTTCTCTTTTCCTCAGCTTCTTTCCTCTCCACCAACTTGTCTTCTATGTCACTTACCGTCTCTTCTGCCTCTATCTCTTCTGCCTCTTCTGGCTATTAGAGCATCCAATTTAGACTGCATCTCAGTTAGAGCATTTTAAATTTAGGCCTGATTAGATCTCATTTCTGCAATAAGACATCCTTTAGTGTCTTTATACTTTCTTAAAGTCCAGATAGTAACTTAATAAATTGTTATCCTGAATTCCTTCTCTGAGATTTTACTTATATCCACATCCATTAGATCTGTGGCAGAGTATTACCTCTGGATCTTTCTTTTGTTTTGAATTCCTCCTTCTAGTCATTTTGCCTAAAGAGGTATGGATGAATGGATGGGGAAAAAAACCCACAAATATCAACCCCAGCTCAAGGGAAATACGCATAGCTAAATCTGAAGTGCCAGAAACCCCAAAAAAGTAGGGGAACGGGAAGAGAGAATAAAATCCTCCAGGTGAAAAAAACAGGGTGATCCACTTGGTCCTGGGTATATTTTGGTCTCTGTGTTAGAAGACACTAAATCCCAAAATCGTAAAGAAAGCAAAACTTATATATACACAAAAATAAAATTGAATACAGTGAAAGGAAGCCAAAGCTGAAGAATATGTCTAGAAATGAAATATAAAAAAATTAAAGTTTAAAAAGACTTAAAAACAAAGAGTTGATAAAATAAGAAACTCGTTGAAAAAGGAAAAAAAAAGAGAAATTTTTAAACTGAAATGTAAAGGAATCATGAGGAACAACCTCAAATTCTACATACTATTTTCCCTTAGAGCTGCAAGTTTGCAGCACTGTGTGCTCTGTAAGTTTGGTATTCCCTGTTTTTCCAGCTGATCTCTGGGGCAGGGGCCTGCTGCATTGATTCTCAGTTGTGTTTGTCTTGGCTGAGTTGCACCAACACTTGTGGAGTGTGGGAGGGGCTCAGTGTAAGGTGTTTCTGGTTTTTCTATGTGGCTTTTGTTCCCTAAAGGCTTTCCAGGCCTCTTTAGATGAAAGTAAAAACAGCTGTGCCCCGATCTATAGCCCCCAAGCCAAAAGATTGTAGTCCCCTTTCTTCAGTAAACCCTTAGGGATAAGCAGTTTTCACTTTGTGTGTGTCACACTCTACAGCGTCCTATGGTATGTGCCTGCACTGATCCTCCTGGGGGGAGAGGGAGGGTGGCACATTTCTGTCTTTTTCAGCAACCCCTCCCCCAACCAGAACTCATTCATCTAGTCATGTGTTCACCCACCCCTACAGGGGGAAGGTGGGGGTCACCCTCCTCTATCCTTGAAGGCGCCCTGCAAGGACAGCATTCACTCAGTGGTGCACGTGTCCCCATTGCCCCTCCTGGGGGAAGGCAGAAGGCCACACCTTTAACTGACTTTTGCAATCCCCCCGCCCCCCACTGAGAGGTGTCGCTAGAGTCTGCAGGATTCATGGCTTATGGTGAACCAAGCTAAGAGCCTCCTCCTGGAATTGCAGATGGTAACCAGTTTACCCACTCCAATGCTGGGGAAATCTGTTGGCTCAGGGATCCCCATGCTCTCTGTGACACCAGGGAACCTGAGACCACACTGTTCCACCTAAGATTCTGCCCCACTTCACCAAACAACACCTTTCATACAGGGATGTCTCTCACTGGAGCAGATTTCTAAGGGTTCAGATTTTGTGCTCTGGGGCTTTATCACTTTCTGGTAGCTGGCTTACAGAGGCTCCCTCCCCTCCACCGTTTATCCTCTGATATATCCCCTCCATTTCACTTCACACTCTTACCTTGCAAAAAGTGGTCCCTTTCTATTTGTAGAATTCCAGCAATTTTTTTGTTGTATCTCAGGTTGAATTCATAGGTTATCAGAGTGATTTGATAGTTATCTAGCTAAATTCAGGGGACCAGATGAAATGAGGTCCCCTACTCTTCTACCAGTTTGTCTCTCTTTCATGTTTTTTATCCCCTACATTCTGATTTTATCCTGTTTCTTAATTTAGGTAGGTAACATATAGTGCATTATTGGTTTCTGGAATAGAATTCAGTAATTCATCACTTACACACAACACCCAGTGCTCATCACAAGTGTCTTATTTTTACTTCTAAAGATTATATATATATATATATATATATATATATATATATATATATAAAGATAGATTATTAGATAGAGCATGAGCAGGGGCAGGGGCAGAGGGTGAGAGAGAAGGAGACTCCCCACTTAGCAGGGAGCCCAATGTGGGACTTGGTCCCAGGACCGTGGGATCATGACCCGAGCTGAAGGCAGACACTTAACTGAGTAAGCCACACAAGTTTTAAAGGCAAAGGTGCTTTCTTTAATACCGATCACCCATCTGGCCCATCCACCACCCACATCCCTCCATCATCCCTGTTTGTTCTCTATTGTTAAGAGTCACTTATGACTTGTTTCCCTCTCCCCTTTTCTTCTTTTCCCATGTCCCATATGTTCATCTATTTTCTTTCTTAAATTCCACAGATGAGTGAGGCCATATGGTATTTGTCTTTTTATGATTTATTTCATGTGGCATAATACACTCTAGTTGGGTTTACATCATTGCAAATGGAAGATTTCATTCTTTTTGATGGCTGAATAATATCCCACTATATATATTGTATGCAATAGAGGTGGCAAATATATGTATATAAAACCTCTTCTTTATCTATTCATCAGTTGATGGACATTTGGTCTCTCTCCATAGTTTGGCTATTGTTGATAATGTTGCTATAACACCAGGGTGCATGTACCCCCCTTGAATCTGTATTTTTGTATCTTTTTGTTAAGTACCTAAGAATGCAATTGTTGGCTTGTAGGGAGTTCTATTTTTAGCTTTTTGAAGAACCTCTAAATTGTTCTCCAGAGTGAATCAGTTTTCATTCCCACCAACAGTGCAACAGGGTTCCCCTTTCTCCATACCCTCGTTGACACCTGTTCTTTCTTTGTTGTTAACTAACCATTCTGATTGGTGAGGTGATATCCCACTGTAGTTTTGATTTTTATTTCCCTGTTGATGAGTGATGTTAAGCATTTTTGAAGTGTCTGTTAGCCATTTGTATGTCTTCTTTGGAGAAGTGTCTATTCATGTCTTCCATGTATTTCTTAATTGGATTATTTGTTTTTTGGGGATATTGAGTTTGATAAATTCTTTATAGATCTTGATACTAACCCTGTATCTGTAAGGTCATTTGCAAATATCTTCTCCCATTCCGTGGGCTGCATTTTAGTCTTATTGATTGTCTCCTTCATTATGAAGAAGGTTTTTATTTTGATAAAGTCCCAATTGTTCATTTTTGCTTTTGTTTTCCTTGCCCCTGGTGTTGGGTGTAGCAAGAAGTTGCTGCAGCCCAGGTCAAAGAGGTTTATGCCTATGTTCTTCTCTAGGATTTTGGTGGTTTCCTGTCTCACACCGAGTCTTTTGAGTTTATTTTTTTGTGTATGGTTTAAGAAAATGATCCAGTTTCATTTTGTGCAGGTAGCTGTCCAGTTTTCCCAACACTATTTGTTGAAGGTACTGTCTTTTTTTCCACTGGATATTCCTTCCTGCTCTATTGAAGATTAGTTGACTGTACAGTTATGGATCCATTTCTGGGTTCTCTATTCTGTTCCATTTATCTATGTGTCCATTTTTGTGCCAGTACCATACTGTTTTGATGACTACAGCTTTGTAATGTTAAATGCTGATATTTTTAAGGGTAAAATTTTCTTTGGTATAATGTGTGAACATTGAAGAAATATTATAGTTAGTAATTGATAAATTGGGTGATACAGACATTTAGTATTTTATTTTCTCTAGTATATGTTTAAAACTTTTTATAATAAAAAGTTTCAGGACATGAAGTAATACCAAAGGCCATTTTTACTCCTTATACTAAATGGTAAAAAACTGATCACCATGTTTGGGCACAAGCTTTCCCTCCAAGGAAATATTAAATATATTTTTAAGCTTTTTTTCTACTTCTTCCTCATTCAGTATCTTAAACTCTATCAAATCCATATTGTCTTTAAAATTGAATTTCCTATAGGAAAGGGTGCAGCCCACTAAACAGTGAACCCCTTCAGAGGTCTGCAAGGAACAGAATGACTTGCTTGTAAACACAGATGTTGGAGATATCTGAAGGTATGTATTCACAGACTTAAAATCTTCAATTGTTCGAGGTTCAAGAGTAAAGGAGTATATTTTTCGGTATTTGTTCTTTTCCAGAAGATCAGAATTAAGAAATTCTTGATTTGAAATGTACTGTTCTCTTCTGATTTGGTCCAAGTACCAGATTCCTTTGTCTTCTGTCAAGTGGAATATGCAAGGCACCTGAGGCTGATCCTTTCCAGAAATTAACTCCAGAGGCTGCCACATCTGGTAAGAGCGTCCAAACCCAGCATCCACTATGTAATTCCTGCCATCAGTAGTCACCTTCAGCAGAAGGTGAATCATAGCATTGCTATATTTGTTGGCTGGAGTACTGTAAACATACCCTCCCAACATTGTGGTCTCAAAGCCAATTGTGGTCAGAGCCCAATATAGAAGATGATTGACCTGGAGACACCACCCACCACGGTTCCTCCTCACAATTTGATCAAAAATGGCCTCCAAGCCCAATTCCATGGCTTCCCCACAATGAATGTTAAGGTTCTCAAAAGGAATGGTTCGGATCTGGTGCTGAAGAATGTCAGTTAATGTTTCCAAGTCCAGTTTCTTCCTAGAGTTCCTATAACCAATTCTTTCAAAATATGCTTCAATGTCCATGATCCTCTGAGGGAAGTACAACAAAACAGAAATTACATTACTTTTGCACTGGATTTCTTTGATTAGCCTAATTATAACTAATGTATTATAAATATATAAATGCAGTCAGTGGTTATAATTGTCCATAATCATAAATCTTTTGTTTACTGTTTTTATTGCATAAATTACTTTTGTACATATAAACTCACTTAGTAGACTTAGTAACCCTGTAGGAAAACTATTATCACTTCTTTCATATTTTAAGCACGAGAATTTGGAAATCCATCGTAAGTGAGGAGTGAAACTATAAAAACAGTTTACATGTGGTTTTCTTCATGATGAACAAAACAAGGTTCAAATTGGTATCAAAATAAGGTTTACAAATAGTTCCTAATATAAATAGAATTATATAAAGGAATCTATTGATTTCATGGTACCTGATCCACTCAATTTCCCCTTTAGATAACATAAAATTATCTGGCCAAATATTCCCACTCAAAGATTATATTCATTTGTGCATTGATTTATTAATCCATTCAATGTATTTTCTGAATACCTACTATGTATTTGCTACTGATCTCCTTGCTTGCCCTCAGAAATCTTACACTTTAGTGATAGTTGGATGACATAGATTGTAAATTGGATAAACTAATAAAACATTAAATTTCTTAGATTCTAATAAGTGTCCTGTGGAAGACTAAAGCAAAGAAAGTAGACACGTTATGCACTGAGAAAACTAATTTCGAATAAAGTGATCAAAGAAAGCATCATTGCAACCTTAAGGATGTGAAAGAATGAGCCATGTCTACATGTGTGGGGAATACCATTCAGGCAGAAGAAACAAAGCAAAAAAAAAAAAAAAAGTCTCAAAGTAGAACCTGCCTAGAGTGCTCAGAGAACTTATAGGAGGTCAGAGTGATTGAAGCAGAGTGAGTGGGAGAGAATGTGAATTGAGATAAGACAACTAACATACCCCATAAAAAATACTAGCCTTTTGGCTTGAACTCTGAGATCAGAATCATAGTGAGAAGGGCAATGGAGGAAGTTGCAGTTTAGGCAAAATGTACCAAAATCAATTTGATGTTTCTGGCTATTACATGAAGAATAAGCTGTATACATTCAGCTAAATAGATGGTGACACAGGTAGACCAATTAAAAACATGTATGTTCTAGGACCAGTACTCTCCTCATGAATGGTATGTTATCCAAATCAAGTCAATAAGACTATTGAAGGGAAACTTCAGAAACCTAAACAGATACGTTCTGCTGCAGGGCTAAGAACTGGTAGGATATTTTCTCAAAGCTACTAGGAGAACTTGCTGAAAAATAATATCAATAAAAATTTACAGAGTTGAGGAATGAAAAGCAGGAGAAAAAAAAAAGATGAGAAAGACTTGAATCAAATTTTAAATTATCTCTTGACTTTCTGTTAAGTTGAGGTAGCAGAAAAAAAAATTCCTTATTTTTGTTAAATCCCATGTAGAAAACGTTCTGCCCCTGCTGGTGAAGAGTCCTAATCCCATGTAGATGCTAATTTTAACAGTAGTGCACTACCATTGTTAGTATGACATAGTCTGAGGTGACATGATACAAAAGGCCCCCTAGGCTAGTGGTGAAAAGCTATGTGTTTCTATTGTCCTTTTTATTCTTATTTCTTTTGTATTGTGTTTTTCTTTCTTAGTCAGCTCTTCCCATTTTGCTAGGGTTTTAACTTTCTTTAATTTTTAATGTCTGCAACATTATTTTCTCTAAGTCTATTAAGTTTATTTCATCTCTTCTCATCTTATTTGCATTGATGTCCTTTACCAACATGTACACAGGCTCTAAAACTACCACTCAGATATGGAGAAACTATTGTAATTGAGCCATACCATCCCAAACCCTCTCTGATTCTATACCCAGAAGCACTGTTGAGTAGGTAAGGAGGACAGTGATATGGCACAAAAGAAATATGGTTTAGACATGCTTGAGCTTTAAAAAAATTTAGTTAACAGAATTTTCCCTTTTCATTTTAGTTAACATAAATTATATTATTAGTTTCAGAGGTAGAATTTAGTGATTCATCACTTACATAAAACACCTAGTGCTCATGACATTAAGTGCTCACCCAATTACCTTACACCCCTACCCACCTCCCTTCCAGCAACCCTCAGTTTCTTTCCTATAGCTAAGACTCTTATGGTTTTCCTTCCTCTCTGTTTTTATTTTACTTTGTTTATCCTTCCCTTCCCCTATTTTCATCTGTTTTGTTTCTTAAATTCCACATATGAGTAAAATTATATGATATTTCTCTTTCTTTGACATTATTTCTCTTAGCATAATACCATATGGTTACATCCACATCATTGTAAATGACAAGATTTCATTTTTTTGGTGGGTGAGTAACATTCCATTATATATATCAATCACATCTTTGTCCATTCATCCTCCATACACATGTGGGCTCTTTCTATATTTTGGCTCTTGTGGACATTGTTGCATAAACATTGAAGTGCATGTGCCTCTCTGAATCACTATGTTTGTATCCTTTGGATAATATCTAGTGTAATTACTGGGTCATAGGGTAGGTTTATTTTTAACTTTTTGAAGAACCTCCATACAGTTTTCCAGAGTGGCTGCACCAGTTTGCATTTCAACCAACAGATTAAGAGGTTTTCTCTTTCTCCACATCTTTGCCAACATCTGTTGTTCCTGAGTTGTTAATTTTAGCCATTCTGACTGATGTGAGGTGGTGTATCATTTTTTGACTCATATTTCTTTGATATTGAGTGACAGTGAACATTTTTTCATGTGTCTTTTGGCCATTTGCATGTCTTCCTGTAGAAAAATGTCTGTTCATGTCTTCCATCCATTTCTTGACTAGATTATTATTATTATTATTATTATTTTTTTGGTGTTGAGCTTGGTAAATTCATTATAGATTTTGGATATTAACCTTTTACCTGTTATGTCATTAATGAATATCTTCTTCCATTCTGTAGGTTGTCTTTTAGTTTTGTTGACTATTTCCTTTGCTGTGCAAAAGCTTTGTATTTTGGCAAAGTACTGATAGTTCATTTTTGCTTTTGTTTCCCTTGCCTTTGAAGATGTATGTGGCCAGAAGTTCCCAGCAATGAGGTCAAAGAGGTTGACGCTTGTGTTCTCCACTAGGATTTTGATGGTTTACTTGTCTCACATTTAGGAATTTCATCCATTTTGAATTTATTTTTGTGTATGGGGTAATAAAATGGTCCAGTTTCATTCTTCTACATGTGCCTGTCCAGTTTTCCTAACACAATTTGTTAAAGGGACTTCCCCCCCCCCCATTGGGTGTTTTTTCCTGCCTTGTTGAAGATTAGTTGCCTATAGAGTTGAAGTTCTATTTCTGGTTTTGCTATTCTGGTCCATGGTGACTGTTTTCATGCCAGTATTATATTGTCTTGATGGTTACAGATTTGTAATACAGCTTGAAGTCTAGAATTGTGATGTCACCAGCTTTGTTTTTTTCATTATCCTTTCCTTCCTTCTTTTCTTTTCAGTTTTTTTCTTTCTTTACTTTTCTTTCTTTTGTACTTTCAATCTTCCTTTCAAGATTTTATTTATTTGACAGAAAGAAAGTATAAGCAGGGAGAGCAGCAGAGGGATAAGGAGCCTGATGTGAGGCTCAATCCCAGGATTGTGAGATCATAACCTGAGCTGAAGGCAAATGTTTGACCAACTGAGCCACCCGGCACCCCTGGTGTTCTTTTTTTTTTTTTTTTTTTTAACATTCCTTCTGTTTTTCAAGGTCTTTTCTTGTTTCATACAAATTTTAGGATTGTTTGTTCCAGCTTTGAAAATGCTAGCGACATTTTGATAGGGATTGCTTTAAATGAATAGATTGCTTTGGGGAGAATAGACAATTTAACAATATTTGCTCCTCTAGTCCATGAACATGGAATGTCTTTGCATTTCTTTGTGTCTTTCTCAATTTCTTTCATAAGTGTTCTGTAGTTTTCAGAGAACAGATATATTACCTCTTTGGTTAGGTTTATTCCTAGGTATCTTATGGATTTTTGTAAAATTGTAAATGGAATAGATTTCTTGATTTCTTTCTGCCGTTTCATTGTTAGAGTATAGGAATGCAACAGACTTCTGTGTGTTGATCTTACATCCTGCGACTTTGCTGAATTTCTGTATTACTTCTAGTATTTTTTGGGTGGAGTCTTTTGGATTTCCAACATAGAGTATCATATCATCTGTGAAGAGTGAAAGTTTGCCTTCCTTTTTGCTGATTTGGAAGCCTTTCATTTCTTTTTGTTGTTTTATTGCTGAGGCCAGAACTTCCAGTACTATGTTGAATAACCATGATAAAGGGGACATCCCTGTCATTTTCCTGACCTTACGAAAAATTTCTGGTTTTCCCCTTGGAGAATATTAGCTGTGTGTCTTTTATAACAGTTGTTAGATCTTCTTGTTGGATACACCCCCTTATTATGATATAGTGTCCTTTTCATCTCTTACCAAAGTCTTTGGATTAAAATCTAGTTTGCCTAATATAAGGATGGCTACTCCGCTTTTTAAAAAAATATCAATTAGCATGATATATGGTTCTCCACCCCTTCACTTTCAATCTGGAGGCGTATTTGGGTCTAAAATGAGTTTGTTGTAAGTAGCATATCAATGGTTCCTCTTTTTTTTTTTTTTAATCCATTACACTATTTCTTTCTTTTCTTTTCTTTTTTCTTTCTTTCTTTTTTTTTTTTTTTTTTGGAACATTTAGCCCATCTACATTCACAGTAATAACTGAAAGACATGAATTTAGTGCCATTTTATTACATGTAAACTCACTTTTCTGGTAGATTGTCTCTGTTCCTTTCTGATCTTTGTTATCCTTGTCCCCTCATCATTAATAGGGTCCCCTTTAATGTTTCTTACAGGGCTGGTTTAGTGGTCATGGATGCCTTTCATGTTGGTTCTCTTGGAAACTCTATGTCTTTTTCTAATCTTAATGTTAGCTTTGCTGGATAAAGTATTCTTGTTTATGTATTTTTCCCACTTAG